TTGGATAGGCCTTGGTTTGATTTAAGTGGAGCTCCAATGTGATTTTAAATAAATGGGATCTGCCTGAAACATTATTACATGATAGGAATAGAAGATCCGAAATTATATGACTGAAGGCTACAAAGTCATGGAGTTTGTAATTTATTTACTTCACTAGACTTTTTTTTCCCCCTTTTTCCTAAGCAATCAACTTGTCTTCCAATATTCTTTCCATTTTTTTCCATTAAGATATTTGTTTAGGGTAGAAAATGTAAAGAATAGCAGACACAAGCTTCTTTTCTTTTCAAGATGTCTCATCAAAAATTTTCTAAGGCTGTCATGACAGGTATTGGGTGCATAAATGTGCCTTTATTCAGAGGAACTAGACACCTAAGGGATTCTTTCAAATATTAAACATATACTGTTTTTCTGTACTCTGTTTGTTTTCTCAGTATAATATTTCATCTCTAGATTCTATTATTTTTTTCTTTTTTACCCAGATTGCTACAAATAGCTGTAGCTAGCAATGATTTTAGAAACAAATGTGGACATAAACTTGACTAGAAATATTCTTTACTATTCAATTGCCAGTCAACATGGTAGAATAGCCTTACAAGAGTTTGAAGTAGATAACAGATTATACTATTTTACAGGGTGGAGTGTACTTGAAGGTTAACAGTTAGTAAATACACAAGCCTGTTATTTCCCCTAAATGTTCATTTAATTGCTGTAAACATATATCAAATTTTTATTGAATGGTTTTTCATAATTTTCAATGAGCTTTTCATTCTGTGCTTTTTGTCCTAATATTTCTTGTGTTTTTACTGCTGCTATTTTTACCTAATTATAACACTAAATTGATATTAAATTCACTTCATGTCCATTAGTGATTATGAAACTCGGTGTTTTTTTTTTTTTTAATTCTGACACATTTATCATAGAGAAAGTAATGTGTTAGACATAAAAATTATTCTGGTGAAGGCAAAAGAAATGGTATAATTAGAAAAGCAGAACATTTAGTAATTGGGCATGAAGAACATTGTTAGATTATTCTTTGTTCATTTAACAAAACATATATTAAGCTCTTACTCTGTGTCAGAACCAATGTCACGTCTTGGGGACATAGTGGTAAACAAGACATGATCCCTTTTCTCATGAAGCTTATTTCATGGGGAAGCAAGATGTTAAGGACTAAATAACACGATTTAATGTTACAGTGTTAGGAAAGGAGAAGTACACGACTGTAAAACTGAGGAGGTGATGATTACGCTGAGGGTCAGGAACGGACAGGCCATAGGAGGTAGAGAGAAAAGTACTGTGGAAAATCCTAGAAACAAGAGAGAGTGTCTTGTTCAGGAGAAATTAAAGACTTGCACTTGCTGGTGTGCATCAGAGAAAGGAGAGAGAAGTAATAGATGAAACCTGAAAGAAGTAACAGAACAGGTCAGCAGGGCTTTGTAATGATAATTTTAAAAGTTTAACTTTATCAGATGGAAGGAGAAAGCCCTTTAGGCATTTTCAATGGGAGAGTGACATGAAATAGTTTGAAATTTTGAAATTTACTCTTATTACATTACTATAAAAGGATTTGTGAAAACATTCACTGGAGAAAAGGAAGTGAGTTAGGACTGTTTTAAGGTGTAAGATTTGATGATGGAGAAAGGAATAAACAGATAGGTGAGTACAAGTCACACTTGGGTGATAGAATTAAAGGATTTGTTGCCACAAGCAGTTTGGAAATACATTCTTTATTTATGTAATTATTTATCCCTCATTCAAAGTCAATCTTGAATTAACTCTACTCAGATATAAAAAGTAAGATAAGAAAATAGAGATGGAACAGTAAGCTGAAGACAAATGAAAGATTTTTGGACAGTTATACAGGATATAAAATGTCCTGCATTACTAATAAAGCTACAAAAACTTGGCTTTTAATGTCTTACTAGCTAAAGTAAAGTAACGAAACAGCAGCAACATTTGCAGTAAATATTGTAGCTACTCAGAAGTGACATTCCTGAACAAAGTGCTGACTTTTTAGCCAGAGTATGTGGGTTGAATTCTGTAATCTACCCATGCTGGCAAGATCAAGGCCATTGAACCTCAAGTTTCTTTATCTACAAGGTGTGGTTAATAGTATATATCTCATAGATTACCAGGACAATAAAATTCTTTCATTAAATAAATATTTTCGAACACCTACTATGTCTTAGAAAACGTTCTAGCCACTGGAAATCCTCCAGAAAACAAGGTAAACAACAGGGCTCAGTGGTTTCGCTGCTACTTTCTGCTGAGATTGGTTTTGGGTGAGATGTTATGGCAAAAATAAAGAGTAATTAGCATGCAAATGAAGGTATAATATGTTGCTAACATAAAGATGTCAATTTCATCCAAATTTAGTATTTTAAGTCCATTCTACCAATCATAGAAATACAACATTCTTTTTTAAAAGTAGATAAGCTGATTTTAAGTTTCTTTGATAAAATAAAGCAGACTACCAAGGGAAATTTTGAAGGACAATAATAATGAGAGGGGATTACATTGTATATACTTAAAAATAATGTGCAGTTACAATAATTGAAATAGTGTGCTATTAGTGATTGATCCAGAAGAATCGATTAACAGGCCAGAAACTATATAATTAGAAATTTGTTGTTTGATAAAGGAATTATTTTAAACTAGTGAGTGAAAAGATAGATTATTCAATACCTTGAGTAACTGAATAGATACTCAAAAAAAGTTAAATTCAATACATTGATAATGGAAATGGAAAAAATGATTACTTTATGACTATGTAAAATATTAGTCCTAAAATATTTGTAAGTAGGGGCCTGGGGGAAGCTAACATAATGTAGACTAAATGCTGCCTTGAAACATAGCAAGGAAGCAGTGAAAAATATACAAACAAAAAGCTTAAATCATTAGTACCAATTGTGTTTTCTTTTTTGCGTTTTTGTGATGCATTTTATTTTTTATTTATTAGAAAATATTAAGACATTCAGAAGGTATAAGAATGTTACCATGAATATCCATGTACTTAGCATTCCAGATTTTAAATAATAAACATTCCAAATGTTTGTGAAACCTCACATGTACCATCTCTGTTTGACATTTTCTCTCTTTTTCTAGAACTTAGTTTGCTATAAAGCTGAATCTGCATACTATTATTTTATCTAACATTTTGTATTTAAGGTTTCCCCATGATGTCTTTTAAGCACTGGGACTTGCATTTTCACTGTTATCTATGTGAATTTTATTTGTTTATCCATATTTCTTGTGGATATGCATATATAAGATTGTTATGTATTTTTATCTTCCTTTAGCAAATTCTTCAGGCCTACCTTCAGAATATACCCAGAATCTAACATGGTCCAAACCATTATCATCTAGGTGGATCATTGCAATAACCCACTCACTGGTCATTACCCCTTCTTCAATCTATTTTCAACACAATGACCAGAGGTATTTTATAAAATATGAATCAGACTTTTTGTACCAGTCTTCAGAATTCGCCAGTGGTTGCCAAGTCATCCCAATTAAAGATCAAAGCCATAGTACTGTTATTTATAAAGTTCTTCATGATCCCCCTTCCCAGCTAGTTATCTCTCTGGCCCCATTTTCTCCTTCTCCCTGAACTCCAGCTAAACTTGCTTCCTGCGCTTTCTGAGCCACATCAGGTATTACCTCTGTCTCAGGGAAGTTCGTGTAGCTGCTTCTGCCTATAATGATCTTCTCCCAGACCTCCCTCACCTTCTTCAAGATTTTTACTCTAATGTCATCTTTTCCGCAGTCACACTATTTACATTTTATTCAACCTGCTAAAATATTAGCTCCCTTCCTGCTTCATTTTTCTCCCCACTATTATCACCTCTAACACAGAACATAATTTGCTTTTTCATGTTTGTTGTTGGCCGTTTCCCACTAGTGACTCCACGAGACAAGACATTTTTACTTTTTTTGTTAACTGCCATAACCTCTAACCTTTGAATTTAAAGCCCTTCCTGGCATTTCACAGGTGCTCAATTAATGTTTTGTGTTTTAGTTAATGAGTGGGAACTGGATATACACACGAGTATTAGCTGTAATAGTAATGTCTAGTATTTCTCAAGCAAATAACATGAGCTGAAAATAACAAAATTTGTATATTGACAATTAGCTGAACTTAGAGATTCCTGGTTACCTATTAAGGTTTTGTAGAAATCATAAAGGAAAAAAAAATTCCCAAAGAAATGACATCCTAAAAAATGATGCTGCCTGAGGGGCCATGTACCAGTATAAAAAAGCAATGTAATAAGCAAATCACTTAAGAAAATTTATCTGAACTGTCCTTGTCTGATTCCATCCATTTCTGTTCCCTTCCAAGTTACCACATTGTGTTCCCGTCAGCTTCTGGAATTAAATTTATAACTCTCTTGAATAGTACCCTTGCATGACAATTAGTTGACCTCATGATGGCTTTTGGATCTCAAACAAATCCTGATGAATTACCAGCATCATCTCATACATTTTCAGTCTTTCAGATAGATTCTGTTTTTGCTCAGTACCCTCTTGCCAAAGAGTAATGTGGTACATAACAAAAATAACTTTATTTTTGTTTGCCAAAGGGAATGTTTTCTCCACCAGGAACAATCATTCTTAGGAAGTAGTAGCTAGATGTAGTCATATGCAAACAAAAATCGAAACTGTTTTATTTTGTTTTCCTAGTTCCAAAAATACATTAACATTATGGAAGAATGGGTCCAGGTTTTAAAAGCATTATTGTTAAGTCAACTAGGTATATTTAAAATGGCTCCGAAATTTAGCAATGAGGAAGATGTAACACCAGAATAATACTGTCAGCTTATATGTACTGTGTGTTTTCTATGATTCCAACATCTGGTTTGTGTTACCTCATTTAATCTAACCCAAGGAAGCTGATATTGTTTTTCACAGAAGAGATAAATAATCACTGAAAAGTTAAATAACACAAAAGCTTGTACAGTTGGGACTCAGATTAGGCAATCAACCTCCGGGGTCCAGGCTCTTGACTCTTAAAACATACTTAAGAAGGCGTCGCAGAGCTCGGAGTGACTAAGCGGAAGAAGAAAAAGAAGGACAAAGACAAAGCGAAACTCCTGGAAGCAATGGGAACGAGCAAAAAGAACGAGGAGGAGAAGCGGCGCGGCCTGGACAAGCGGACCCCGGCCCAGGCGGCCTTCGAGAAAATGCAGGAGAAGCGGCAAATGGAAAGGATCCTGAAGAAAGCATCTAAAACCCACAAGCAGAGAGTGGAGGACTTTAACGACACCTGGACACACTCACGGAGCACTGCGACATTCCCAAAGTCAGCTGGACGAAGCAGCTGCCTGCACCGGGATGGAGCAGCTTCGAGAGTTCGCCAAAGGCCCCGCTGGGGTTGTGTGTGTTTCCGTTGGTATATTCTAGACACACAGCTTTACACACACCCTCGCGTCTTCTGCTACAGACTGCTCTTCGAAGCTGTGCACCCTCATTCTGGAACTTGATTAAAGTAAAATTGTCCTTGTTAAAAAAAAAAAAAAGGAATGATGCAGAAATGAGATGTACTTAGAAAATATAGATTTTTTTAAAGCTTATAGACAATTTGAAAATGTTCATATATCCTTCCTGATAACCCGTTAGACAATACTCAGACTTTAAAATGGCTTTTAAAGTCCTAAACGTGGTAGCAATGACTTGTGATCTGCGATGATCCATTAAGAATCTATTAGAGATTGGCCGGGCGCGGTGGCTCAAGCCTGTAATCCCAGCACTTTGGGAGGCCGAGGCGGGTGGATCACGAGGTCAAGAGATCGAGACCATCCTGGTTAACACGGTGAAACCCCATCTCTACTAAAAATACAAAAACTTAGCTGGACATGGTGGCGCGTGCCTGTAATCCCAGCTACTCAGGAGGCTGAGGCAGGAGAATTGCCTGAACGCAGGAGGCAGAGGTTGCGGTGAGCCGAGATCACGCCATTGCACTCCAGCCTGGGTGGCAAGAGCGAAACTCCATCCCAAAAAAAAAAAAAAAAGAATCTATTAGAGATTATGATGAATTATTTTTATTATTTTATTTATTTTTAAAAAATTGCTTTTTAGGTTCTGGGGTACATGTAAAGAACATGCAAGATTGTTGCATAGGTACATACATGGCAGTGTGATTTGCTGCCTTCCTCCCCATCACCTATATCTGGCATTTCATATTGCTTCTAAAATGTGCTTTTCTTGTACTTGTAGAGTTCTTAAGCTTTATTCAGCAAAGATAAGTGAATTTATTATATAAAATGAGAAAAATGCTATTTATATATCCATTATAAATTTCTTATCAATTGCATTTTCAATATATTTTTAAAGCCACTGAAGGCGGGCAGCACAGAACATTCTAGAAAAAAAAGACATTGTACTTTTTGTGGTAAACTTACCTTCTTTGTAAAAATACTTTTGTGGGGTCTCTTTTGGAGATTTAGTCAGTTCAGGCTGTTATTACAAATTACCACAGTATGGGCATTTTATAAACAACAGAAATTCATTTCTTACAGTTCTGGAGGCTGGAAATCTAAGATCTAGGTGCCAACATGATCAGGTGTTAGTGAGGCCCCCTTCTGAGTTGTAAACTGCTGAATTGTATTCTCTCAGGGCAGGAAGACAGCTCTTTAGCATCTTTTTAGAAGGCACTAATTCCATTCCTGAGGGATCTACTCTCATGACCTCAGTACCTCTCAAAGACCCCACCACCAAATACTATCACAATGGGATTAGGATTTTAACATGAATTTTGTGGTTACACAAATATTCAGTTAGTTGGCAAGACCCTTACTATTATCACAGAGAAGTGTCTTTCCTGACTGCTATACAACTGGAAGAAAGTCATTGCTATGATATGAACAAAAAATAAGGGTGTATTTTCTATAAAATCAAATCGATAAATTGAGATAAATTTATAATTTTAAACATAAAGCAAAATAAAATACCTACAAGAGCCCTGCAGGATAGGTAAGATAATGTTGGCCATATTATGGAGACTGTACAACAAATTTTACAGGATATGCATGACAGGATATACATAAAGAGAGACTAAAAGTTAAATCCTGGATCTTGAAAAACTCCCACTTTCTAGAAAACTACCATTTCTCAAGCTTATATATATATACTATTAATTTCAAAATGTTTGTAGAAACTCTTGCATGTAATGTCATCTTGAGAGTTCAAAGCATTACTTGGATGCTTCTTGGAATAGTGCTTGCCAGTTCTTATACAGATGAAAAATTTTCTGTGACAACTGTTTTTTAACTACATTCACTGTGTTTTCTTCTTGTGTGTGTGTATGTGTGTGTGCTTGTGTTGCAGAGAAGGCCAGCAGTCGCCAGAACAATGGCAGAAGATGTACGGTAGATGTTCTGGGAATGAAGTCTACCACATTGTTTTGGAAGAAAGTACATTTTTTGCTGAATATGAAGGAAAGAGTTTCACATATGCCTCTTTCCATGCACACAAAAAGTATGTTTCTGTCTCAGAGAACAGTTAAAATATCAATCAATCAATCAAGCATATCATGTGAAAGGAGTTTTCAAAAATACAATGAATATTGTGCTCATGAGTTTAAGCGTTCTGGAATTTTTGCCACAATATTCTCCAATGTTGAAACATTTGAACCCTAGTGTCTGTATGGAAGATTGTCAGGAGGAAATTATAATTTATAGGAATATTTTGTTTAGCAACTTTTAAACTCTTTTAAAATATTTTAATCCATTAAGAATTTACAAACACATGAAAATCTTCTTTACATATCTGAATTTTAAGGTGTTGATTAAAAACTAAAACAAAGTAGTACAAATATTTATAAAAATATACATTTAAAAAAATCTCTGATGGTGGCCCTTGTTTTGGCCAGAGAAATAAGTTAAAAAGTAAATAAAACTACCTTCCAATTCAAACATAGAACATTTTTTTCTTTTCCTTTAAAAAAAAAAAAGTATTTACTTAAAAAATAAAAATATATGTATATAATGAAAATAATATCTATCTGAAATGTTTTCGTATAATATATTTTGGAGGATTTATGTCTATGAAGTCTACTAATCTCTTATGTAATGTACAAGAGCTCACAACTTACAGTGCATTCACTTATGATTTTTTGACCTTGATGGTACAAAACAATAGCCATTCAGTAGAAACCATACTTTCAGTATCCATATAATCATTCTGTTTTTCACTTTCAGTAGAATATTCAATAAACTATGTAAGATATTTAACACTTTATTATAAAATAGGCTTGGTATTAGATGATTTTGCCCAACTGTAGGCAACGTAAGTGTTTTAAGTATGTTTTAGGTTGGCTAAGCTAAAACTATGATCTTTGGTTGTCTAGATGTATTAAAAACATTTTTTATTTAACAATATTTTCAACTTAGGCTGGTTTATCAGGACATAACTTTCATAAGTCAAGGAGCTTCTGTATTCTACTTTACTTCTCAATGTAATTATATTGATACATATATTTTATTGCTTAAAAATATCTTTAAACTTAATTAAATTTGTATCACTTTAAGGCACATTGAAATAAAAATACTGAGAATGATTTGTGTTTAGAGGAAACCCCAAAGAACATATTAAAAATTGTTTAAGGTGCCTATTACATTTAAAGTTTGCTATTTTTTTCTGATTAAGTGCGTACCTATTTAAGACTATTGAAAATAATTTTTTTTCTAAAATTTAAAGTAAACCAAATATGATAAATTTAGTGACCCTTGTTGTCTTTCAGGTTACCACAGTAAGTTTCTTTCCTTTGGCCAATAGTTTTAAACTTCCTTTTTTTTAACCAAAGTAAGAAATACTTTTATGTTTTTTGACTAAAGTAAAATTTTTGTAAAAATTTGCAAAATAACATTACCCTTAGTGTATAACATGCACTCATGTTTCTTATGTTCTTCCATTCATTTTTATTTAAATATAAATTTATAGGGGTCATAGTCACCTAAATTTGTTTTATAACACACTAAGAACATAGTTTATTTTCCTGTAAAAATGAGGATCTTGACCTTCTAGACATTTCAAGCTTTAAAAAACCATTATTTAAAGCGTTTCTTTTCCTCAGCCTAACAATAATTTACTAACTTTCTTACAAACTCTTATTTTCTTTTTTAAATTAAGGTTTGGTGTCTGCTTGATTGGTGTAAGGAGGGAAGATAATAAAAACATTTTGCTGAATCCAGGTCCTCGATACATTATGAATTCTACAGACATATGTTTTTATATTAATATTACCAAAGAAGAGAATTCAGCATTTAAAAACCAAGACCAGCAGAGAAAAAGCAATGTTTCAAGGTCATTTTATCATGGACCTTCCAGATTACCTGTACATAGCATAATTGCCAGCATGGGTAAGTATTGAAAAATTTGAAAATATAATTAATTTATTCCTAAAATAAAAAGTAATGATAAATACAAATACATTTCAGTTTTTATTAAAAGTTTAAAGCCAAATTTTAAACATGCTGCATTTTTACAAAGTAGGTATGATTAGGTATACATACAATGTATGTATACCTAATAGGTACACAGCATAGTATTTCTGAGTTGCGATTTTTTTTTTAAGTAAGATATTAGCCTATTAGCCTACTGTGGTTGCATGTAGCTATAATACCACCTATTCTGGAGGCTGAGGTGGAAAAATTTCCTGATCCAGGAGTCTGAGAACACCTTGGGCAACATAGAAAGACCCTGTGTCCAAAAAAAAAAAAAATCAATCTGAGATATTACAAAAATAAAACCAACTATCATTTTATATTTCTGATTGTATTATAAGCACCATACGCTTTTATATTTCTTTTTTAAGGTCTCTTTGTAATTATCACCAACAGAGGCTATTTCAAATATTCTTCATTTTTCTCAAAATTCTCTTTCCATCTCCCACCTCACTCTCACCATTGAACTTGGCTTCTACCACATAGAAGAAAAAAGATAAAAGAAAAATACCTCCATGCAAATAAGAATTTCTTTACAGTTTTGCTTCCTAACCACCTACAAACATTTAGTATCTGTCACAAGGAAAATGTGCCCTTTTTAACTAACACAGATACATTCATTTATTCCGTTGACCATGCTCTTGTTCCTCCTCAGAGACTTTACTCTTTAATCCATCCTCATTACCTAACTTCATTTTCTATTCAGAATCTCTGGCTGATCTCTCCCCTCTCTCCCCTCTCCCCTCTCCTCCCCTCTCCCCTCTCCCCTCTCCCCCCTCCCCTCTCCCCTCTCCCCTTTCCCCTCTCCCCGTCCCCCCTCCTCTCAGTTCAATGTGACATCTGCAGTCATATCACTGAAACTATGTTGGCAAGGTCACCACTCCTCTCTTTGTCGCTATATCTAATGATTGTCTTCCCAGTATATGACAAGAATATTGACCATGTTCTTCAGAAACACTCTAATGCCTTTTTTTCTGCATTGTACACATTCACTTTCCCTGTATGGTCACATCTGTTCTCATGGATTCAATTGTCCATCAACTGATGTTTTCTTTATCTAAAGTATTAACTCAACATCTCAGAGCAGCAGGAACTGCCTACTGGTTATTTCTATTTGAGTATTTTGCAGGAAAAACTAACACAGCATATTCAAATTAAACCGATTTATACAGTCTCATTCAACACCACCATTTTCTCCTTCTCTCTCTCTTTTTTTTTGCTAAAATGCAGTTGACACCGTTATCCTTTGATTTGTAAAGTCACAGTTCTGACTTTTCACCAACTTGCTCTTCTTATACCTCATAGTTAACCAGATTCTGTGGAATCTGATCAGTGCATAGCCCCGGAATCATTCAGTTCTTCCCATGTCCACCACCAGCGTCATCCTGCTCTGTGCCTCCGCCCTCCCCTCCCTGAACGGCGGGGCCAGCAACCTCATCTTCATTCCCTGCCTCCAGCCTCGCCACCCTGTACTCGATTCCACACCCGGAGATCAGAGTCATACTTTTTAAACAGAGTTTTGATAACATCGTTTTCCTGAGTAAATCGCCTGCTTTCTCTAACTTTTATAATGTGACATAACTTATAAATAGGATAACCAAAAGTTTTGGTTTGCATTAGGCAATCCCAGTTTTCTTAGGAATGTTCCAGTTTCTTAGGATTGCTCCAATTTATATAATTGTCCTGATGTGATTATTAAACACAACCCCTTTTACTCTTCAGCATCAGAAAATAAATTAGTCAGTCACTTTCTTTAGAGGCTTTTTATGAATGGTATTTTCTGACTTTTCTGACCCCTCATTTTACCACCCCTTCGACTGCTCTCCTAAGCTCCAATCTTTCTTACTTTCTTTCAATCTTCACTTACTTTGTTTCAATTTTTCGTCAATGGGCCCTAACACATTAAGTTTCCTCTGACAGGAACTACACCCCATACCCCAACATGGCTAAGTAATGACTTCTAATCCTTTATGTCTCAGTCTAAATATCACTCCCTCCAAACACTATTCCATGGTTCTACCTAGACTTTCTTAGGTAACCCTATTTGTCATTGACATATTTTTAGTCTATACTAGCAATACTCATTTTTAATGTACTCAAAAAGTATTTATTGATTACCTAATAGGTAACCCGAAAGGTATTTATTGAATATGTAATACGTACCCTGAAAAGTATTTATTGAGTACCTAATATGTACCAAGAACTGTCGTAAGTTTTTGTGATAAAACATTACTGAAATAACAAAGATCCTTAGTTCACAAAGTAGATGTAAAAATAAAGTAAATTACTTAGTGTATTAGTGGGTTATAAGTTAAAAGGGAAAAAATAAAAGAAGAAAGCAGAGCTAGTATAGGAGATAATTAATTTTGGGAGGAGTGGGTTTTTAAGTGAAGTGGTTAGAAGGCCAGAAGGTGATGTTTGAGCAAATACTTGAAGGAAATGAGGAATTTGTCCCCTGGAGGTCCGGAAAGAGCATTCCTGGCAGAGATAACAGCTGGCGCAAAGGCCCTAAAGTGAGAGCCTGGCTAGGCCCCAGGAACGGTCAAGAGGTCCTTGTGTCTCAGGCACAGTGAGTGCTGGAAGAGTAGCAGGAGATGAAGAGGAACAGGTAGAAAGAGGCCAGATCCTGTTGGGCTTTCTAAGTCCATATGAGGACTGCAGCTTCTACTCTCACTGGAGCGGGAATTATTGCAAGGTTTTATGTAGAGCCATGACCTGAACTCACCTGTGCTGACTTGCTTTAGTACTCCACTCAGGCTGCTGTTGAACATAGATGGTTTGGAGCAAGGATCAGACTATTTTCAAATGGAAGTGGTAAGAAGGAGAAAATTTTGGATGTACCTGGAGGATAGTCAGAATTCCTTGAAAAATGGAATTGATACTGTGAAAAAAAGAGAAGTGTGAAGAAATAGAATGTTTTTGGATTAAGCAACTAGAGAAGGAATGGCCATAAATTGAGAGGAAAAGCTAGGGGAATGCAGGTTTTGGGAGGTCAAGGGAAGATAAAGAGCAATTTGGATCACCTTGAAGATGTCTAACAGGAAGTTAGAGATAAGAGTCTGGATTTCAGGAGAGAGATAGGCTGAAAAAGTAAATTTTTTATTTCTGATCTTATGTACTGTATTTAAAGCCATAAAACTGAATGAGATCATTGAGGAAATGAGTACAGCAAGAAAAAATGAAAGACAAAGGTCAGACCTCTGCAGTATGTACTAAGATTAGTATCAGGGGGGTGAGAAGAAACCAGCAAAGTGGACCAAAGAGGAGCTATCGGCAGGGTTGAAGGAAGACCAGATGAGTGTGGTGTTCTGGAATGCACATGAGCTAAGTGCATCAAGAGAACAGCATGGTAAGCATGTCAAATGCTGCTGATAGGCCATATAACTAAGGACTGAGAAGTGTCCATGGAATTTAGCAATGCAGTGATCATCGTTCACCCTGATAGGAGTTGTTTCAGTGGAGTGGTGGGGGACAATGCCAGATTGGAGTGGGTTTGGGAAAGAATGGTAGAAGACAAATTAGGAACAGCCTAGATCTGGAGAGTTCTTAAAACGTCTGACTGCCGAAAGGAGAAAAGAAATGGCTTTGTAGCTAGTGTTGAAATATAAAGAAGTAATAAAGGCAGAGAGATTGAGGGTTTGTATAATAGATTGTGTATAATTATAAGCCATGGAACTTAATTTAAGTAAGGAAGTGAAAAGATGTCTTTTGGTTAAAAGAGACTGAAAGGAGAATGGATTAATCGATTCTTATTCCAGTGAAAATCAAGAGGGAGAGAGCTGGAAAGACAAGGTGCAGGTGTCAGAGAACGAGATGCCAGAAGGAGAGAAGATGTGCAGCAAGTAATGATTACAAAAGCCAAGGTGTGACCATGAGAAGGAATGACAGAGTGATAGAAGAAGACACTACTAGCAGGGAGGACAAGGAGCTGGGTCTGGAGTGTTGGAAGGATCATCTATGTGTGTAGTGAAAACGGCCAAAAATCAGGACAGACGAGGAGAGACTAATGGTGATGCAAGAGCGAAGCTGCCCGTGTGTGTTCTGTTGCATAGGCATAGATATGGGGAGCAGGGAGAGTCTGACTTAAACAGGGTTCTGTTTTGTCAAGAGGGTGGAATGAAGCAAAAAGACATCAAGGGATCCAGGGGTCTATGCAAGAAAATAATCATAATGCTTATACATAGGTAATTTGGAATTCAAGACAGGTAAGAAGAGAAGAGAGAATATCAAGGGAAAGAGAGAGACAAACTCTGGTATCATCAGTAGAGCTGAAGTTCCAGCATGGTAAAATCATAGCTGGAGTTGGGAAATCAGTGAGAGTGACCTGAAATGACAAGAAATAGTGGTGGTCAAAGGGTGAATGCCTAAAAATATGTACAACATTGTTATTATTGGTTATAACAAGGTCTGAAAAATGACTGTGGAAGTGAAGGGCTGAGATAAGGTCATATTTTCTTCAGTTCATGTTACTATAATGAGGAAGAAGGTTGGAAGGTCAGAGGTTTAAGGAAAGCAGAATTTTAAACAGTCATGTCCCACATAAAGACAATTCAGTCAGTGATGGTGCGGCATACAGTGATAGTCCCGTAGGACTGTAATACCATATTTTTACTGTACATTTTCTGTGTTTCGGTTATCGTTGTGTTACAGTTGACTACAGCATTCGGTACAGTAACACGCTTACAGATTTGCAGCCTAGGAGCAGTAGGCCACACCGTACCGCCTATGTACCGTATAGCCTAGGAGAGTAGGCTGTCTCCTCTAGGCTTGTCTAAGTATACTCAATGATGTTTGAACAAAAAGAAATCACCAAATGTTATATTTCTCAGAACATATTCCTCTTTTTAAGCAACATGTGGCTGTAATTGTTTCAAAGAATGGGACAAAGTAAAGACTAACGACTTAGAAGGATGACCACATACCACTGAGTGCGTAAATGCAACGAATAATCATGAAATATGATGTCATTCATCATTATTTTCTCTAAGAGAGGGACCTCAATTTTTCATAAATTGATATTAAAATTAATTTTTAAATTTCATTAAAAATCACAAAGGGAATTGCTTCTTCTGCCTACCATTCCTTGAATGCCTCAAGTATTTAATAGCCTTAAGCCACTTGGCATAGGCTTGCCATTCTTACTGCCTCCAGATACTCCCATGACTTGTGTGTTCCTTACTGTATTTCAGGTCAAAAATCAAATGTCCTGACTTAACAGTGTCCTTCTTTCTTAGCAAATAAAAGCTCCATTCCTCTCCCTGCATGCTACTTATCACTATCTACAATTATCCATTTATTTGTCTGCTTGCTGCTATGGGTTTCATCATGTAGAAACTTTGTTGTCTTCTCTGCACATTTCAAGTACCTGGAGCAGTGCTCCCCATATGTGGCAGCCAATAAATATTCATTTTATAAAAAATAAATGTAATATATCAGCAGCCCTGGTACTTTAAAAAGTGATCGCAAATCAATTACAAAAAGATAGCTCAGTAGGAAAGGAGGCTCTTGAACCCAAGAGGCAGAGGTTGCAGTGAGCTGAGATTGTGCCACTGCACTCCAGCCCGGAGGCTAGAGTGAGACTCTGTCTTCAAAAAAAAAAAAAAAAAAGAAGAAGAAGAAGAAAAGAAAAGTGGGGAAAGACACAATAAGAAATTCACAAAATGGACATGGTGAACAACAAAAGAATAAATTGGAACATCAGAGTATACTTCTTCACTTTAAATTTCTGTATACTTCAGGATTATACAAATGCCATGTTTTGTGCTATAGAGCAACACTCTGCAAGTATACTTTTATGCAAATAGAGATTTTTCTTGTCCAGAGAAATGTCCATGTGCAAAAGAAATATTTGGCTGTCAGAACTAAACATACACACACACATAAATATATACTATATCTATCTTGATTATGTTCATTATATTTCATATTTCATTTAACTTTCTATACTAGTGATCAATATGCTAAACGCCTTGATGAATTGTCATGTTTTATTATTTTAGGTACTGTGGCTATAGACTTGCAAGACACAAGCTGTAGATCAGCAAGTGGCCCTACCCTGTCTCTTCCTACAGAAGGAAGTAAAGAAGTAAGAAGACCTAGTATTGCTCCTGTTTTAGAGGTTGCAGATACATCATCAATTCAAACATGTGATCTTCTAAGTGACCAATCAGAAGATGAAACTACACCAGATGAAGAAATTTCTTCAAATTTAGAGTATGTTCAGATACTTGAAGGTGTAAGATTACTGGGTTTTGTGCTAATGTCCTTAAGTATTTTCTTTAGGTACCTTCCCGATAGGTAAGGAGCTAATGATCTTTCCTTCTGAACATCCTAGAATCATTCCTATATACTTCAACCAAAACACACCGCTAGTGGCCAGTATATTCTTAACTGCAGAGCATAATGAACCCTCAACTTTCTGGCTTCAACATATATTTCCATTCTCTTAATTATCCTTTATCCTCAAGGAAAAAAAGATATAAATCAGTGTTCCCAAGATATAAACTTCATTTTCATAATTATATGCTTTTTATAGTATATTGTACTTTATACTTTGGATTTATTTTATTACACATCCGTACTGAAGTTCAATCAATTATTCGATGAAAGGTAAATGCAGCCCCTACATTAAGCTTTCCTTACGTATCTTTATGTTCAGTACTTCCATACAGTGTGCATTAATTAATATTTCAAAGGTATGAATAAAAGGAGTACTGTTTCCCTTTCCTAAGCTTTCATAATTAATAAGAGTACCAATCTATGTAGTGTTAATCACATTGTAGCCTGCAGTAGAGTTTTTTAACATATCTTACTCTACATATTAAATTGTCCTTCTTCAGGAAACACAGCCGTGCACAGCCTTGACCGTGGAGTCCTAACTACATTGTTTGCCATGACAGTACCACTTTATTGACTCTGTACAAGTGACTTTAAAAACTGGCCAATAATTTATTTACCTGTAAATGGGGCGTAATTACTACTTCATAAAGCTATGCAGCGATTAACTGAGATAATGGAGAAAAATTGCTTATGCCAAAACAATGTTTTGTGCAGAGTAAGCATTCAATTAGTATTAATTACTGTTAGTCATAGTATGGGTGCTGTGGCATTGGGAACATAACATCTTAACATTTCTTCCAGGATCTTTCATAAAATGTAAATTCAAGTAATGTTGAATTCAACTAAAAAGAATTAAAATATTATTGAAGCGTGAAAATATTCTTTGCTTTAATTTCTCACACTTAAAAAATTATTGTAAGAAAGGTTGATGTACCCACGAAACAAAATGTGCTCTCCAAAGAAATTAATGGTCAGAATCCTCAAATATATTTGGAATCTAGGATGGAAACAGGGAGAGGTTTGGCAACCAGTGTCTTCACAGGAAACAGTGTTTTGGAGTGTGATTGAAATTCTTTCCTTACACTTCTTAAAAAATTGAGAGGTAAAAGGGTTTTTTTTTTTTATTTCTAGAAAAATGAAAGAGATGTTGCAGTAATTATGGAGATTACCCACTTCTAAATTTAAAAAATTTTACCCTCTAATTTTATCTTTCAGCCAATAAAGTTTATGTCCTGAAAATACTGATTTGCATCTCTTCTTTAGGGATAAAACAGTTTAAACTAGGTCTGAAATGTTATGGCTTAGCAGGTAAATTTGTTAAAATCAAACACTTCCTTATTGGGGGATAAGAAGATATTCTTTTCGCTAAATTTTATTTTATTGCATAATTTTCATTTATGCTGCTACATTTTAGAAGTTTCATTCGGAAAGTCAATATAGCTGAAATATGCAGGTGGCTGTTTTTCAGAAGTCAGCAGGTGAAATGTCTGTGATAATGTTTTAAGCATGATTCCAACAAAAACTCTGTTTCTAACCAATTAACTCTGTTATTTATTCCCTTTTGGTTATGTATTTATGGCTAATGAATATTGATAGAGCAAATCATAACAATGCATTTTGCTTTAAATGTATTTTGTAAAAATTAACACTACTTTTTTTTTTAATGAAAATCTTCTAAGCTGAGAGCAAATTTTTTCTAAAAAGGAACAGGCAATAAGTATTTCAGGCGTTTTGATCCCTGTTGCAGCTACTAGCTCTTACCAAAGCACAAAAACACCCATATGCAATACATACATAAATGAGCGTGGCTGAGATACTGAAATTTGAACTGCATTTAATTTTTACTTGACAACCATTTAACAATATAAAAACAACCCTCAGCTTGCAGAACCATGTGGTAGGCCATATTTTATCTCGGGGCCACAGTTTGCCTACCTCCCTTCTTAACTACATCTTTATCAAAATATAATCGTAACACAGAGTTATTGATATAATGTGATCAAAACAGAGGAACATGGCCATAACTTAATTTCCCAAATTTGCATGCCTTATTCAAGGGTAATATTTTGTATTGTTTTACAGGTATGCTAAAGGTTACCCACCTTATTCTCCATATATTGGAAGTTCACCCACTTTTTGTCATCTCCTTCATGAAAAAGTACCATTTTGCTGCTTAAGATTAGACAAGGTAAGCACTTGTTGCTAAAAGAAATGAAAGTCAGAGAAAATTAATTTGTAAAAATGTATACCTTGGGCCAGGCGCAGTGGCTTACGCCTATAGTTCCAGCACTTTGGAAGGCCAGGGTGGGTGGATCACTAGGTCAAGAGATCAAGACCATCCTGGCCAACATGGTGAAACTCCATCTCTACTAAAAAAAAAGAAAAAAAAATTACAAAATTAACTGGGCTTGGTGGTGTGCGCCTGTAGTCCTAGCTACTTGGGAGTCTGAGGCAGGAGAATTGCTCAAACCCAGGAGGCAGAGGTTGCAGAGAGCCAAGATTGCACCACTGCACTCCAGCCTAGCAACAGAGCTAGACTCCGTTTCAAAAAAAAGCATACCTTGATGTCCTCTTGCAGCAAGTTTTAGCTTACAATAAAACAAGGCCTGGTGCGGTGGCTTACACCTGTAATCCCAGCAATTTGGGAAGCTAAGACGGGTGGATCACAAAGTCAGGAGTTCAAGACCAGCCTGGCCAAGATAGTGAAACCCCATCTCTACTAAAAGAAAAAAAATTAGCTGGAAGTAGTTGCAGGTGCCTGTAATCCCAGCTACTTAGGAGGCTGAGGCAGAGAATTTCTTGAAATCGGGAGGCAGAAGTTGCAAGTGGAGATCACACCACTGCACACCAGCCTGGGCAACAGAGCGAGACTCCATCCCAAAAAACAAACAAACAAACAAAACACACACACACAGACATACAAATTGTTGACTCTTTCAACATCAGGCTACAAACCAGCAATTCATTTTTCTTGTCCATGCACACTTTTATTTTTTACTGTAGATTGCAGAAATGGGCATAGAAAAATGTAGCTATTTTCAAATTTGTTAGAAAATAAGTATTTACATGGTTAGATTAATTTTACATTTTTATATATCTCAAATGTTTTTACCAAATTTTAATGGAATATAAAAATGGCATTTCTTTGTATAATTTTTCTTCTCTAGAGTTGCCAGCATAACTACTATGAGGATGCAAAAGCCTATGGATTCAAAAATAAACTAATTATAGTTGCAGCTGAAACAGCTGGAAATGGATTGTATAACTTTATTGTTCCTCTCAGGGCATACTATAGACCAAAGAAAGAACTTAATCCCATAGTACTGCTATTGGATAACCCGTAAGTATATTTTAAGATACACAAACAAGATAAAGTTTTTAATATTATATTAATGTGTGTCAGAAATAATTGCCTGCAATATGCTGATAGTATTTTAAATCAGATACATTATGGTAAATGACCCATTGGGAGATATATTCGGTGCTGTGATACAAAATATGTCATTGACTATGATTATGTTTCAGAAGTACTACTAAAATATCACTGGGATATTCTGAGAATTTTATTTAAAACTGTTTTGCAAGTGATCATCTACTCATAATACCACAGGAAACAGGCCACTGAAATAATTACTGCAATTTTCCTTAAATTAGTCAACTAAGCCTGACAAATCTCTGCCAAAACTGGACATTTTTTTTTGTCTTTCTAAAGAACCATTAATTATCAGAAAAGCATTTACTGATCCATTTTTATATAACAAAAAGCATCATCATAAGTTATGATTGGACCACTGTTAAACCATACATGCTGTAACATAATAGGAGTTATGCTTTACTATGTACATTTATTTTGAAAATATTGGATTGGTTTACTTTTGTTAAATAAGACTAAGCATTTCAAAATTCTTATGCAAATATAAATATAGGTCACTGAATGCAATGGTCAAAGCCATTTTATTCTAAAATTATAATATTCGTCTGTTTGACTGGAAATTAGTAGCAGGTGTCTTTAATACCGTATTTTAAAATTCTCTCACTCTCCTCTTCCATTCCAATGTGATGCAAATGTGAAGGTGAACTATTAATAAATCAGGCAAAATTCTGTTGCCCTGTCTCTGCCTTTCAAAATTATCAAAAGAAGTTTCTCATAAAAGAGACATCTCCTCGGTACATTATAACTTTATGGTGTTGGTTATTCTGACTATACCAATATCAAAATACTTACTGATGAAACTTTCTTAGCATCATCACTTTAAGAATAATCGACTCCAGAAATTCAGCACGCTTGTAGAATTTTCACTTGAAGAATTTTCAGATATGATTACTCAATGTAATTGAGTAATTACATTGAGTAATCATATCTGAAAATTAAAAAATTGATTACTCAATTTTTCTATACCTCTTTGGCATCTAAGGAAAGCTGAGGCATATTTAGGGTAAATGTACGGGAACAGAAACTTGGACCAAATTTCGGAAGAAATAAAAGATTGTTAAAATAAATTTTAGAACAATCAAAGTTGCGTTGTGGTATGTCTGTGGCAACACAGTGGTTGTAAATCACTTCTTTCAAACATAGCCTTAATTCTGAAGCATCTCTGATAGGAAGCTCTGAGGAATTGGCTGAGCTGCCACACGAGAGATGCCTGACTATGGGAGTTCAAATGTGTTAGCTTTGACTTCTTTGACTTATGGTATATCCACTGTCCTGAAAGTAGAATTTAAGACAAGGGCATTTGCCAACATTGCTTAGAGTAGCTCCTACTTGTATGGCTTGGATCAAACAGGATCAATTGAGGTACCAGGTTACAGACAGGAAGATAGGAAGTGATTTGAAAAAAAGTGGAACTGTGCTTACAGCATCCTTCTGATAGGACTCAGGCAAAATTGTATTTTCCTCCTCTTTACATAATTTCAAGATAGTTTCTTGTGCTGAAGTGAAAACCTTCCTGCCAAAAATCAGTCTCTTCATATTTAGGACTGTAGTTTACTCTGTGAACAGAAATGGACCCCTCATTTTCAGTCTCCAGTCTTGCTAAGTAATCTTATGTCGAATCTCTGCGTCTTCATTTCCAGCATCAGGCAGGTGACAGGAGCTCGGAAGTGCTTTACATCTGTTGTAGATTAGGAGTGCTTCACTTGTATGTCTGATATAGATTTTAGAATAGCTGTAACCAAATCAATCCCTTTCTGTTTGGTTTTGAATAAACAAGGTACAAAAATGTCTGTTACTGAATGATTGATTTGTGTATTCAGATTATAAAATCAATTCTGTGATTGATCAAGGAATGAGAGAAGGAACTGTATAGCCAGTCTTCATTTCTTGATCAATCACAGACTAATCTGAAAACTACTTCTCCTAATTACTGACAGCTGTATTTCTGTATAAACATAGAAGTGACTTTTATCAGGGAATAATTCATTTGAATAAAACCCTAAGGATTATTCAAAAAAGTTAATATTATTTACCTCCATCCTGCATTCATAATTATAATGATCATTGATCATTTACTACATGATGATCATCATACTACACAATTTATTTTACATTCTAGTCCCACAAGTCACATATTTACAATACATATATACTGATGATTTAGTCTTAGACAGATGTGCCGAGCTGTTTAAAATCTCAAATCACAATATAAACATTTAAATAAACCGAAAGCTGTGTGACATTGCCACAACACTTGTCTCTTATTTTAAGAAGATGTAACAGAGACACAAAGAAGGTGAATGACCTTTTTCATGGCCAATTCTTGAATTAGACCTTTCTATGAAATTTCTATTTTATTTTTCTTTCAACTTACAGGTTTTTGATATATGAAAAAATATATATTGCTTGCTCATTCTTTTTGAAAACAGAAATATGTCTTAACTTTGAATTATTTTTGCATTAAAAGTTCCCTTTGCCTTCCTAATGGTTTACACTTTGGAATCTAACAATTTACATTATATTGTTATTCAACAATTCTTTCAGGATTTGACTTTATTTCAAAGAGTTAGGTTGAAAGTGCATGCTGTAAAATATATTAGCTTTCTGTGTACTTCCCGAAAGTATGTCTAGTATTCTTATTTGTTGTCCTCTGTTCCTTTGGTTCAGAATGAGGAAACTAAAACTAAACAATTAATAATGTTCCAGGAAGTTTTATGCAATTCTTTTTTTTTTAAACAATGAGATGCCTGTTGCTCTGAAATGGACAGTATTTTGCAATCTATCCTACATGATCACAAAGGAATATGAGAGTTTCTTCTTTACAATATTTCCGTGTTATAGGAATTTGTACAACGATGATTGCATGCACTTCATTGTATTAGTGTAACTAATTAGAATTATTAGTTAGTTTTGAGGATTTTACTTTAAATTCACATGAATGTTGCTGAAAATAGTATTTAGTATGTGGCTATTTTAAACTAGTTGAAAGGCCAATTAATTCAATATAACAGAAATAAATAATAGTCGATGTAATAAGCATGGAATTTTAAAATGTAAATTAAGTTTATAATATTCATACACATAATATGCCAAAATAAGTGTTTACGATGTTTCCAAATAGGAAGCTTTCTAGATCTCAAATGGCAATTAAATAAAATTCACTCATACTGAAAAACATCTTTCAGCTGGTACTGGTTCGTTAGCGCTGGTGTCAGTTCTGATTGGTTGGCCATCTGTTCTGTTTGATCTGTTGTGCCGTACTGATTTTAAATATTTTGATTACCACCCAAACCTTAAAGGTCATCTAGTCATTTTTAACACCATCTCATGTGAAAGGTACGAAAGCAAGTCAAAAGCTAGAATATATTACCCAAAGCCACATAAGGGTGAAGTGAAAGATCCAGGCGTTTGCTCTTAATGTTTATCAAGGTCTTGTTCACACTATCCATTTATTAAATCAACCTTCTTTCCACATAATGGTGGCAAGTAAACTTTAGCTTATTTTAAAATTAATGATAAAATGCCTGATGTCAGTGTTCTTATTTTTAAAATTCAAACTTCAGACTCATTCAGATCTAAGTTCTAAATTTATTCTCTTGATAGGTCTGTTAAATGCTACTGAGTCTTTTTAGCCACATATTTCTGATTTGTAAAATGGTTAAAACATTTATCTTAAATAGTTATTGTGAGATGATGTAGATAATGTATATAAAATCCTAGTGCAATATCTGGCTCATAAAAGGAAGACAAGAAATACCATTTTTTCTTCTGCGAATCAAGAAAATAACACTGTTATTCTTCAACCTGATGGAGGGGTTTATATGAAAACCCAATTAATAAAAAAGGACGTTTATTTAAGTAGTTAAAATTAAATTACTTTTATATTGTCTAGCAAGGAATAAACTTCTTTAAAGTGGAATTAGGAAATGTTAACAAAATAAACTGTGCTCATAAAAGCATAGTATACTATTTCTTGAACTTGAAATAAAGAAATTAAATTTTTATTGTTATTAAATGGGAACTAAATAATGGTTGTGAATTTTACAAATTCATAGAAATTTAGAAACCGTTTTTTACTTCCTAACAATCACTGACTAATATTTGAATGGCAACTTTTATTATGAGAATTTCTGTAAGAATATAAGGCTTTGGCTCATAGGCAGTCATCTTTTTTAATAGAATTACAGCTAGGACTCAATGAATGTGCTCATTTTTCTTCTGTTTACTAACTCAGTTACTTTTTGTGTTTGTTGAATTTTTATTTTGTTTATTAGCAGTTAGTTTAGCCTGTGTTGTTTTGTTTAGTTTTGGTCCATGTATATATATTCCTTCTGGATATATTTTTGGTCACGTTTATCTTTTTCATTAATTATAAAATACTTCTTTATGTACTAAGCAACTTTGGTTTACAAATTTGATATAAGTAACAATTTTTTGACATTTGTTCCTTATTAATCTGTTTGTAATAAGCTATATAGTTAAATATGTCAATAATTTTTACCAATTTTCCTTAATGTAATTCCTAATATAAGTCTTCTCTATTTAATAGTCAGATTTTTTAAAATGCATACATTTTATTCTGCATAATTTTTTTTTTAAATATAAAACCTCATCGGTACCTTGGGGACACAATGTAGTAAAAGGACATTTTTGGAGTGTTTTATGTTTTTGCTTATTGTTTTTCAATAATAATGCTTCCCAATATAAAAGTTATACTTGCCAATTAGCTGCCTTCCAATGATTAAAAAATTGTTTTATTATGAGCCTATGATGTCATTTATGTCACTCAATTACTAAGCAGGTTGGTGCCATGAACACTGTTGACAATGTATTTAAGTGAGCTGGCATAATACGTGTAAATGCAGAATTTATTCTTTACATTTCAGATTTCCATTTAAGCTATCTTTTTCAATAGCTGCAGTAGATGAATCTATCTGTTACACAAAATTAAATTTTGCAAACAATACAGCATAGTAGACCACTTACCTTAGATATCTTTCATCAGGATTATATATTTAGCAGGGTTCAGGTGACTTCATTTATCTTGTAACATAGCTGAATTCACGTAAAGACGAACCATGCTACCACAATACAGAAGTTAAAGCAATTTCCAAGGATTTGGCACATTGCTTGCCTATTGTAAGTACATATTTGTGGTAGAATTGCATGTGACTGAAATTCATGAGTTTCTTAAAGCATAACAATGATTAAATTTGATGGCCAGTTAGCTTTTATATTCTCTACCAGACAAGCAACAAAATAGAAAGGTCTTATCTTCATTTTTAACTCTAGTAGAAGAGTGGCATAAAATCAAGACTTACTTTGTCCACGGTGACCTCAAGACCCCGGTGAAGGGATTTTTCAGATCACCACAACAGCTCAGTGTTGCCCCACTCTTGTGGTACCTGCGTCCTCATATGTGCTTCTGCAGTCACTCACAAGGCAGGGTGAGAGAGATGTGGAGAGTTTTGAATCAGCAATTAAAATAGCCCTGCTAATTTTAAGAAGCAGGACAGTGCCTAGAAAGGGTATAACTAGAAATCTCTACCATAAGGCACTATCAGAGACTGCTACTGGAGTGTATGTTTGGTTATAACATTTGTTGAAAACATGTATCAGGATCTTTAAAACTATTTATAGATGGTGATCCACTAATATCCCTTCTATGAATGTTTTGGGGTAATGATAAAAATCAATGTTTTAAAAAAAAAGGAAAGAAAAGAAAGTCCTCCGAAGATGTGAATATCAGCGTTAAATACAATAGCAAGGTACTGCAAAGAACTGATAACTTCACTATTTAACAGCAAAAAGTGAAAATAACTTATAAACTAAATAACTGAGGATTTTCCGAATGAATTGTGGTACATTTGTAAGATATAATAATATTGGGTCATTTTAATGACTACAAAGAAAGTTAATGATGGGAAGAAAGTTAATCAAGATTAAAATAATGGTATTCTTTACAAGTTTTATTATTATTTTTTTTTCTGTAATGCTTTGCTGATTGAGCATTCTTTTTCTTCAGAGTGTAAAGAGCTAGAAGGATGATCAACAAGATCATCCTTATCCTCAAGAGAGAAATAAGTCAGGGAGAGAAAAAAAAGTTTATCTAGCCAGGGAGGCTTGTAGGTGCTGTAGTTTTCTTGGCCTAGAATTTTCTTTTCCTCTTATGCTGAACAAACTCTTACTAATCCTTTAACATTCAGATTAAACATCAGCTCTCTGAAATGTTCCTCAATTCTGCCTCCTACGCATAAGATATTGTTTGCTTTTACAGATTAAAATATATAATAGAATTGTATGATTTTGTACATGAATTTTTAAAATGCTGTATTTCTTACATGCTAACAGGTTTCTTTGCATATGTCTGAGTGTATTAAAATGTCTAGTAAATAAAAATTTTGGATACATATATACTGAGTGAATAGATACATGAAGGAATTAATAACTTTGTAAAATGAATACAGTAGATTAAGCGATTTCTAAGGAAGCTTTCCGGTGTATGGTTTTTTTCCTCCAATATGTATATAAGTAAAAATTTCAGTCACATTTCCTTAATAATATATATTGAGTCAATCAATAAATTAAAAGATGAATTACTTTCACTATAATTTTATAAAATACATATTTTACATGAGCATATTTACTAGATTTATTTGACATACTGAGATATTATATAGACTATGTTGCGATTATACATATCTCCCTTAGAGAATGTTGTTCTTAATAGGCATGCTTAATAGTTGCTCACTAATAGGCATTAGTACCTACTGCTTTAGATCATCTAAAAAAATGCCTTAGTTTTTTATTTTACAAGGCTTCCTCTGCATGGATGACTTTTAAATTTATTGATAAGGTTTCTTAGTTGTAATTAAGATTATAAATTCCGAGTTTTGTAGAATGATGCCATAATGTTTCTGATTTAGAAAGCTGAAATACAACTTGTTTTTATCATTCTGAGGGCACTGTATGATTCATAACAAGTGGAAATGACATTTTCTAGTTAATGTTAAGAAAAAAGGCACTTAAAATTAATTTTGTCAGCAGTGTTGAGTTTTGGAAATGCAAACTAAGTCAACTTACTTCCTTTCCCTAGAAGTGCTGCCACTGTTGTGACATTGTGTTTCATTTTGTAACCCATCTACTACTTAGGCCAGATATGCATTTTCTGGATGCAATCTGTTGGTTTCCAATGGTTTACTACATGGTGGGCTCTATTGACAAGTAGGTGACAAAATCTTTGGCACACTAACTAGTGTAGTGTCCTGTGGTTTGTCATGTGCTGTGCCTTGTTACTGCATGATGAGTGTAATTTGCCATGTCAGTATTGCAAATATATTTTGCATGTAGAGCTTATGTTTTCGTGTTATACATCTTGTATTACACTTCCTAAGCAGTAATCTATTGTTGAATTAAAACAAATCTTGCTGCATGTCAATTTTGTCAGTTTTGCTCAGTTTCTAATGCTATTTTTAGTTTTGTGTCATTTATAACAATATTATTACTATTGACATAGTGGTAGAGAAAACTAAAGATGCAACATTGTGATGTATTGATAACCTTACAATAACTTCTGGAAACTTTAAAATAATTTAGAAATGCTCATTTTAACTTAGATTTATAAATTGGAGCAGTTTTTTAAGAGTTTAGTCACATTTCCGAATTTATAATTTCTAAAATATTTGTTAATTAAAAGGTCATATGTGTTTAATACATTAGTAATTAAATAGAAATTCTTATACATGCATCATCATGACATTAAAAAATATATATAAATAAAAGATGAAAAAGCTAACATACTTGAAATAATGTTACTTTTCCACTTCTAAAAAATGTCAGCTAGAGTCTTCAAAATAAATGCTGAAATCGACCAATTGAGAACTTTAACTTTTACATTTTGTTCTGTAGATGTTGAAGAAAACAAAGTTTTATAACTTTGAAACTGTTTACTGCTGTGGATACAATAAAGATCAACCAGTCTAAAATATGTTTAGCCTCCATTCTACATTAGTATAATTTACATGATCAGAGATCACAGTAGTAACTATGTAAATAAAACGTAGTTAGATGCACTAAAATTACTATTTAAATTCTACACTTGTTTTATAACCAGTAATCTTTTTTGGAAATCTTTTGAAATGATAGTGCTCTGTTAAAATTGATTGGGAAAAACAGTATGCTTAAAAACGATAAAGAATAAACCTCCTATCTGCCTTTTCTGATGTAAATTATGAAGTGAATTCATCCTTTATAAAAGTACTTATGGAGAGGGAATGCAGAATTGAAAGTATCAAATTCCTAGGGACAGAAATAAACCATAATTGGCTACAAATTGTTAATTGTTGGTCTGGTGATAGGGATGTTCACCTAACAATTCTCTTCTTTTGCTTGTGTTTGAAATTTTTCTTTAAAAATACCTCTTTGAATGAATTAAAATGCATTTATCAACACCTCTTTACACTCATACATTTCACATTCTAGTTCTTGCAAAGGACAGTCTAGGGCGGCTTTGCCAATTATTCCTATAACATGTTTCCATCTAGATTGACTTTCTTGTGCTGCCATCTGCTGGCCACACTGTGGAAAGCAACCATAGTAGGGAAAAAATAAGGCAATTGCTTTGCAGAAATTATGATGGACAGGAGTTATAAGAATAAGTTGGCAGCCTACTTATAAAAAATTAAGTGCAGTAGTAAATAGAAAAAAAATAATATAACCTTAAAACATAAAACATTTAAAAAGCTTCTACATGGTTCAGAAATATTCCAAATTTATCTATTTTCTATATAGATTTTAATTCACATTTAATGATAATTTGCCAAGGTTATGAGTAAACTGTAGCAGCCAGTATTTTTGAGACTGGAATTAACCAATACATGTGGGTATATGTAGCATTTATCTTTTTAGAACAGGTACTCTTAAAGTGAAGTTTTGGTCAAGGGTTCACTTCAATGTCATTGAATTATTGATGATTAAATATTCATCTTTCCTATCTACACTTCTATGCATATATACTTATCCAGTCACTCTCATCCTTGACTGCCCTATACTTTCCTTTTTATATATAGGTAATTATAATGAAGATTTTTTTTAATGAAGAAAAAAGATTGTGAAAGCTGAGATATGAGAAAGTGATGTGAAATTATAATAAGGTGGTTTGAAGACATATGACTTCAGCGTCATTTTGATGGTCCGTAAAGGGCCATTCCATATTCATTTGCCATCTAACTCTTTCTTTTTTAATGTACTTTAATAAATTAAGAAAAATTATGATACATTTCCTGAATAAAAGAAAGACCCAAGTATCCCTAGGCACTTAAACTTGAAGTCATCATAGTGGTTGGATGTTATGGTCCTGGCCCCTCTTATCATAGGAAATTTATTTGGAATAACATTCTGTTTCCACAGTTTTAGCCATAAAATCTCTGCCACAGACCATTGTTCCTGATTCAAGCGAAATATTTTTTCTGGACTACTCCTGGGGATCTTGGACTCGAGGCTTTGGTAATACCCTCTCGCCTAATAACAGAGTAAGAAATCCTGCCTCCCGCCTTCCCATAAAGGAAAATAATTCCCTGTAACGTGACATGGCTAACTCATCCAATCATGCACTTGGAAAAGATCCTCAGGGACTTCACTCTTCAATTTAAAAATCTAAGAGAAATTAACTGCTCTTTAAGCTTTAAACATCCTATTTTAAATCAGAAGATACGGAAATCAATTAACCTATCTTTTCTTACCTGTCTTCAATCAACTCTGCACCTAGAACATTCTTGTATTCATTCAAGTTTAGTCTCCGTTATCCAATTCAGTTCTACTTTTCTAGTTTGCATGAAGCAGAGACAATGAGAATAATGGTTCCCTGTTTCAGTTTTAACGGTAAACATTTTCTTTTAATTCATTGGGAGAATGATAGGTAAGATTTTTTTAAATCAGTGATAGGGAAGAAGACTGACTCTATTTTAGCCCACAGGTATGTGTTCTTACTTTAGCAATTACTTCATCCAGCCAAAGAAATCAGGTTATTCAGTCACTTGCTCGAAAACTTAGGCTGGCTAAACAGTAGGCTTGCACACAACGATATTTGTATGTTTTACATGCTCTTGGTTGTGTAGAACCAATCTATAACACATAGATCTCACATAAAGGAATAATAAACATTTAAAAATAAACATTTCATAGTTTTATATTTTTTCATTAAGCTTGACCATCTAAATTAACAGCACTTATTGCTCTCTTACCAAAATTACCTTAGAAGCTTTAAAAAATGTAAATGTCATGTCTTTGAAGAAGTATGTTAACTGTAAAATCAAATTTCTAACATGCTCTATTTTATTGCAAAATGGGTGTACTCCATATTCCATGTATATAATCAATATAAATCATTAAATAAAATATTTTAACACACATGTTTTGAAACAGCTGAGATCTAATGACATGTAAAGTACCCAAGATAAAAATTATTTTATATAAGTAGATAATATTGTATCATAATTCAGCTACCTGTGCACACTCTGTAAAAGCCACCGCTAAAGGCAACTCATGTAAGCACAGGGGATGGTGCAAGATTTTAGCACTGATTGTAACATTGTGATATATTTAATGTTCGTTTTTCTCTGTTGATTTTTACCAAAGCCTAGATGACTTACTCAGGTGTGGAGTGACCTTTGCTGCCAACATGGTGGTTGTGGACAAAGAGAGTACCATGAGTGCCGAGGAAGACTACATGGCAGATGCCAAAACCATTGTGAATGTGCAGACTCTCTTCAGGTAAGTGGCTGAATCATCCAACCTCGCCACTTGTTTTGTGCTAAACACGGGTAAAATATTTGACACTGACACTGCGTTAGGAATGAACATGAGACACACTGACTTTATGTTCACTTATTTATTCATTTTTTTTTCACATGCTTATTGAGCATGTCATGTGTGACTGGCACTGCATAAAGTTAATTTTTTAACACCAGATCAGTAATGCTCCTCATAAATTGAATGCTATATCTGTTTTCTCAGATAGTTTAACAGTAACGAAACTCTTGAAGATCATGTATACTAGCAGTCATGAGTTATGACAAGCAGTCCATGTTTTCCTGTTGGTATTATGCCTAGCAATGACCAAATATTTGTGTTTACATAATGGATAGCTAGGACTGAAGGACTGCACAGCTGTGAACAGGTAATTTACCCGTGTTAGGAGCAAAATCGTGACATCATATTTACTATTTTCCTGTATTTTGTTAATTAAATGTACCCATTGAATTTGATTCATTGGATTTGATTTAATGGGGATATGAATCCCCATTATGGTTGCCTTTGGGTAAGAGTAAACAGTCTCGACCAGAGAAAGGTGCATGTTGTAAGGGAGGTCAGTCTCATCTGTCAGTCAGGACATCTGTGTTGCTTGGAAGGATTCTAAATTCGTCTGAATATTTAAATATCAAAAAGATCTTTTTTTTTCAGTTGTATGAGTTTTGCAAAAGCGTAAAGAAAGTATGTGAGTTACCCAATTACAGAGGTAAATGAAACAATCTCAATTTTCTCATTGTCCATGTTCACTCCACTTTCATACTTTCATATTGTAACAAAGCATATCTTGAGGTTAATTATTTTTCTTTCTAGTTCAAGTTCAAAATTCAAAGGAGAGACCCTAGATGTGTGTCCCAGTCAAGTTGCCTATTTTTGGTGAATTACTTTGGTAAATTTTTTAGGTAAATTATTTTCCTTCTCTGCATCTCAGTGTATTAATCACAATATTATTAAAGATTTAGAAATACAAAATGCCTTGCTTAGCACATGCCTAGTCGTTTTTAGCTATTAATGTTACTAGCAGTATAATTACCACTTCCATGTGGCAGCGTGGAAAAGCCATAGGCCTTGGACTATATAGCAGCAAACTTTATCTGGCACAACCTTTACCCTAGAGGCTCTAGCAGACACTTTGTGACCTTCCTAACCTCATTATGATTCAGTTTTTCTCATCTATAAAATGCTGCAGAAAATAACCCACCTTGCATTGTTAATGTAAAGATTAGAGATTGGTTATTTAAAGAACTGTCATAGCACCTGGAAAGTCTACCCTGAATTTGCATAAGAACCTCTTGTTCCAGAAGAAGAAATAAACACTTTAAAGTTATTATAATGCGGCAGTTCACTTAGAATGTAGCTAACTAGGTAACCAGTGAGCTGTATGAAACAGTACATTTTTAAAAGACAGTATATAACACTTGTTTAAAATATTACAAATACATAAGCAATTTTTTTCTCTAGAGAATATAAAAGGAAATTACAGGGTAGAATATTAATTCAAAGATAAGATTTATAGCCAGTGAGTAGAGTAAAAATCATGTGATTCCATGCTTTTTTTTTAATTTCATGCTTGGCAAAAGCTAATTATATAAAAGGAGAGGATCCTAGGTCTTTTTAATTAAACATGCTATTTAAACTTTCAATTTACCATGAGTTTTATTTCTATTATGGTGACGTTTCTATTGATATAACTTTTATTACATATTCTCTGGATGAATTATTTTGATTGAAAGATAATAATAAATCCCCATCTTACTGAGAGGTTAGAACGCTGTAATTAGTCATTTAAAACAACTCACCAGAGTAATTATGGACAGATATACACATGGCAACTAACTGTGCAAAGGCTAAGCTTCTCTGAGTGCCTAGCTGAAGATGTGATGACCACTTGTTGAATGAATGAATGGATGGATGGATGGATGAATTAATAACTTTGGATACCTTAACTATTAGGCTTATCTGTCTTCAGCAGTATATTTTTAAAGTTAATATAATTTTTATGTAGAATGAATAGTTTCAAGCAGAATTTTTCAGAAGAACTGTTAAAAACCCAAATTGCAAAGAAATTACCTCTGTTCTTTCCTTTCTTATAGCCTATCATGACGTTACTATTATTTCTCCAAGTATATAATAGTATTTTTTTAGGAAACAAAATTTACGAAACTTTATTTGTGTTATACGTTAAGCGTATAATCTATGTGTGCTAAGTTAGGCTAGTTTTATATGATAAAAAAGACAGGCATTTATAGGTTTCTATGATATAAGAATATCGCTTACACAGATAAATGACCAAAATCACACAGACTTGGGAGTTGCATTTTATAGACAAGAGTAAATTATCATCCTCCAGATGACTCTTCTGCATTCCTTGAAGATTTTAGTTCCTGATTTACTATTACTCTTGCCAATCCTGATTCTTTCATAATTATTGATGATTTCAACAATCTTACATAGATGATCCATTGAATATCTGACCTACACCACCCATTCTCATGGTCATAGTCTAAATCTTGAGCTATGAATAATTTTACACTCCACATTCTCAGTTTACAGCATTCAACACTCCGAGTAGTGCTACTCATTTTCTATCTAATTTCTTCTCATATCCCCAACTCTTAATAATCATTTGACCACATTGGAACCTGTCATCCACTGATCCTACTACCTTTTTACTTACCCAAGTCACCTGAGGGCTTTTCCGCTTCCTAACCCAGATTCAAGTCTGTGATCAATTGTGATAATCGCTGCTGTGCTGAAACCCTCATGGATAATTGCTGATTATCTACTACACATAACACTGATCTCAGCTCTTTCCCTTTCCTCTCTTCCTCCTACTCCCAGTTGTCTCTCCTTTTAGGTTCTCTACCCACCACCCTGCATGAAATTCCTTAGAGGCAGATGACAGCATTCCAGAGGTAGGATCCAGTTACCCTCATCAGTAAGCATCAGACAACTAGAAATCCAATCACAATGGCTGGATAACAGATTAAAGCTTTGGGCCCCATCCCTAAGAGAACTAAATTCTTATACATTAATTATGCATGAGTGAATAGTATCTTTAAAATATTTCAGCTAATCCTTATATCTTAAAGAACACTGTTAGTGTTCTCAATCAAGAGTCAATTTCTAAGAGCTGATTAGTAAGGCCTGTGACATTGGTAGAAGTACAGATAACGGAAGTAATGCCGTGTCAACTTTCAGATTACAAACCAAGGTGGGCCCCTTAGGTGATGACCTAGAATGCTAGCTGCACCTGGTGTTTGACTTAAACTAATGCATACACCTATCACATTGTTTATTTTGGCCCTCGCGCACGGGGCCTTTTACGTTGTGGATGATGGAGCAGCTCGTGTCGTCCATAAATTCCACACGCACCTGCGTGCACTGTCCCTGAGGACCGGTCCTGCCGAGGACTTTGGTGACCCTGGCCAACTTGATAGGCTGCACACGGCTCGTATCCATGATGGCGGCTTGGCAGCAGTCTGGCGGAGAGCTAGACAGGCCTTTTTTTAAAAAATTATACGTTTTTTTTTTAAGTTCTGGGATACATGTGCAGAATGTGCAGGTTTGTTATATAGGTATACATATGTAGACAGGACTTTTATTTATCACTTACCCTGATTTGTTCCTTCTGTCACGATGAGTTTTGTTTGTTTATTTTTTGGGAGAGGGGGCGCTCTTAGTAGGCCTTTATAGCAGCAAATTTCCTCGGGGACGACCTCTAATCCAGAGGTGATTTCCTGGAAGAATAGTGTATCTCCACTCCTCTGCTCAGAAAAATCTCCTTGAATCCTAAGCAATTGGCTCAGTACCTCCCCAGACATCATTTCTGCATATCAAAGACAATAAGGAGAAAAGATCTTTCCCAGGTTAGATCCTGTTAGACCCTGTGTTACCCCTCTCTCTCTCTCTCTCTCTCTCTCTCTCTCTCTTTTTTTTATTTACACATCTAAGAGAAGACACTCTAGTAAGCCATCCCAGTACAAAGATCTGCTAAAAAGTGAAAGAAAAGCAAGTCCTCAATTTTAAATTTAAATTTCTCCTTCTAAAGATTTACATAACAAGGCTGGGCATGGTGGGTCATGCCTGTAATCCAGCACTTTGGGAGGCCTAGGCAGGCAGATCATGAGGTCAAGAGATGGAGACCATCCTGGCCAACCTGGCGAAAGCCCCTATCTACTAAAAATACAAAAAATTAGCTGTGTGGTGGCACATGCCTCTAATCCTAGCTACTTGGGAGGGAGGCTGAGGCAGGAGAATCACTTGAACCCGGGAGGTGGAGGTTGCAGTCATCCAAGATGGCACCACTGCACTCCAGCCTGGCAACAGAATAAAACTCTGTCTCAAAACAAACAAAAAAACAAACAAACAAACAAAAAGATTTACATAACAAGACAATCATTACAATTGGAAAAAATTGCATGTTTTCATATTTTTATGAACAAGTACTAATATGTAAACTAAGTTTAAACCCTCAAAATGTGCTTTGGATTAAAAACAACCACAGTAAAATGTCTATGTCAGATTGATCTATCAAAATATCCTACTTGGTGGCTGTTTGGCATGTCACTGGCATCTATCATTATTTTCATTTTACTGAGAAAGAAATTAACATTTAGAGAAATTTAGTGGCTCATCCTAGCCCATCTAGAAAAAAATGGCAGATTCAGGCCTCCTATCCATTGTTCGAAAGTTAACTGTGTGCTCCGGGGTTGTTAACTGATAGATTTTAATGAGTCTGTTGATTCATGGAAACTCAGTGCAGAATTTATGTGTAGTACATTACCTTGGGGCTTCCTCAAAACAACTTTGTCCTTTCTCTCCTGTGTCTTGAATCTTTCCACTTCTGTTGGGTTATTTTCCTTAACATTCAGATTGTGTCTTCTCTTCCCCTTCCTCGGTGTTTTTATTTTCAGTTTTTGTGGAGGCAGGATCTTACCATGTTTTCCAGGCTGGTCTTGAAC